TGGCCGGAGTCCTTCAGGAAAGTATGGACAGCTGGACTTTTTCACAAGGTGGATTTCTACAGGCCATCTGCCTCTCCTGTTTGGTGAAGGAATAGAGGAAAATGCTTCTATCTTCAGTGTGTATTCATGGAAACTTCAATTCAGGTTTCACTTTGTGTTCATGGAACTAGTGTTGGGTGTGTGATCTGAAAGGAAATGGAAGAGTTTTTGCACAAGGAATGATGGTCTTAAAAATTTGTTTCTTTGTATAGCATTTCTTCATTTCTCCAAGGTGAAGCTGCATCCTGCCATTAGATCAATAAAACTTGTAGTGACCACAATAAAACATGGACATCAGTCCATGTTTTCCATAGTGCTATTAAATTTATGAGGAAGTGAGTGTGGCAAAGTTCTCATAAATCATGTTCATTCATAATAAAATGAATCTTTGGGAAAACCAAATTCTTTCTGAACTTTTATGAATTCGTATACATCCCTGTTCTGTTGTCTCACCTTCCTCTACTTATTAAACATGTGGAATGTTTTAGGACTCAGTGGCCTCTGAGGATGTGGCTGTGAACTTCACTCTGGAGGAGTGGGCTTGCTGACCCTTCCCAGAAGAAACTCTACAGAGATGTAATGCGAGAACCTTTAGAAACCTGCCTGTATAGGTAAGATGACATCATTCCTACTCTTTGTCAATTAGAGAAGTGTTTATGCTCATTAACACTGTTCCATGATGTTGAATATGAAAAGGGAATACTTGTGTAATAAAATCAGGTTTGTTTCCAGGCACACAACAGAAATAAAAAAAGAAATAAAAAAAAAAAATAAATCAGGTTTGTTTGCAGCTAATCAAGAACCTAAAATGTAATCACTTTTTTGTAATTTCATCAGTTCAATAATAATTTTTCTGACAATATTTAGGAAAAAAATGGAAAGACAGACATTGAAGATTGGTACAAAAATCAGGGGAGATTCTAAGGTATTGCGCTCCTAAGAAAGTAGTGTCTCATGAAAGAACACTTAGTATGCCATGAAAATTAACAAACAAAAGCAATAAGGCCAGCTTCAATTTACTATCATAGAACTTTTTCACCAGAATATATACATAAATGACACAGATGTTCAGTGTTTGGAAAATAGTTAATGTAAAAATAGTATTAAGAAACTGTATGTATGAATGTCGTGGTTATGTTAATAGCTCCTCTTGAGCCCTCTTGTGGAGCATTGAATCCATTCACTTTCGAATAATTCAGACAGAGCTGAAAACCTACTGTTTCCTCTATTGTGGTAAAAATGGAAGTCTACTACCTATTAAAAATACAAAGTCATTAATAAACCATAATATCATGTTCTATTTTTACAGCAATCATATGGTAGAAGACTCTGTGAACGTGATCAATAGGGAAACCCTTCAGCCAGATTCTAATCTTAATCTGGACAAGAAAATTCCTAGTGTAGTAAAACTTGGGAATGTTAGCTTGTGTGGGAAGTTCATGATATTCAATCCTTAGTAGACACATCACGATCTCATGCTGGAACACAAAACCATATGCAGTACCAGGAATATGGAAAAACAATATAAATGTAGAGCAATGTCGGAAAGGGCCCCCATTTTTTTGGTTCTGTCAGATCTTTCGAAGGACATGAAAGAACTCACACCGGTGAAGAAACCCTATGAATGTAAAGGAATGTGAAGGCTTCATCTCTGCTCCAAGATGTTCGGAGACACATGATTAAGCACACTGGAGATGGCACGGCTTATAAATGTCAGAATGTGGAAAGCCTGGATCGTCCAGTTTATTCAAATACCATGAAAGAATCACACTGGAGAGAAACTACGAATGTTACAGAATGTGGGAAAGCTTCATATTCTCCCAAGTTTTCAAAACAACATATTAGGCACACTGGAGATGGACCTACAAATCAGCAATGTGGGAAGGCCTGGTCGACGTCCCAGTTTATAAGAATACATAGAACTCAATGAGAGAAACCCCAGAGATGTAACTCAAATGGTGGAAGCATTCATTTTCTCCACAAATTTTAAAGTCACATATTTTAGGCACATGGAGATGGACCTTAAATAATGTAAGGTATGTGGGGAGAGCCTTCATTTCTTCCCAGTGTGTCGAAAACATGAAGAACTCAATACGGGGAGAAACCTCATGAATGTAATAATGTGGAAAACCTCAGTTCTCAGATGTGTTCGAACACATGAAAGGACTCACACTGTGTACGAAACCTGATGATATTGTAAGGAATGTGGAAAAGCTTCAATTCTCTCCAAGTGTTCGGATAACCATGATCGATCACTGGAGACTGGACCTTAATAAATGTACGAATTGACCTAATCTGCAGTAAATGAACAGAAAACCAAACACTCTGTTGACTGTCTAAGTTCATTGCAAATACAGAAAAAACACACTGAGAGAAACCGTATGGTGTAGGAATGTGAAAAGCTTCATTTCCTCAAAGGATTAGAAAGCAATGATACTGCACACTTGGAGATGGACCCTTATAGAGTGTCGGTAATGTGGTAAAGCTTTTGACGTCCTAGTTTGTTTCCGAACACATGAAGAACTCATACTGAGAAGAAACCTGTGTGTAGAATGTGGAAAGCATTAATTATGCAAGTTCCATTCGGAATACATTGAGAACTCATACTGAGAAAAGCCCTATGAAATGTAAATATGGAATCAAGTTACCCAGTTCCTTTCAAACATGAAAGAGTCAGGTGAGTAAACCATTTAGGTCATAGGGAATTTTGTTATCAAACGCATCATACACATGAGAATGCATAGTTGAAGGAAACACAGTGGTATAAAATGGAAAGTTTAGTTACCTTCTGGTTTAAGACTTCTTGGGACTGACCCTTCTTCCTGCCTGTCTCCCTTTTGGAAGAACATCGATCTAATTCCTGTCCTATTGAGTTTGGAAGACCACAACTTAGTTCAGTCCACAGGTTCAGATAAGAAAATTTTGCCTCAACATGAATCAGGTTGCATATTGATTATATGATACATGAGATGATATTGGATTTAGACTTTAGAGTTTCCGCATTATTAGACTTGAGGCCTTTGGGATGGGATGAATTGTTTTTACATGTGAAAAGGACATGAATTGGGGGGGCCCAGGGGTTGAATGGACTGAAGTGTATATGAACCCCAAATTTAATGCCCCGTATGCAATTGAATTCAGAGGAATGTTCGTTGGTTGTCTGGATTAGATGAGATCAAAAGGGTGGAGGCTCATAAATGGGGCTAGTCTCCTGATAGAATCCCTAGAGAGTAATTTCTCCCACCATGAGAGGACACCAGTGGAAAGATAGCTTCTTTTGAATAGGAGGCAGGCCTTCACCAAACCGAATCTGCCAATGCCTTTATATTGACTCCGCTCTCAATGTGAGAATAAATGTTGTTAGTCAAGCCATCTAGTGTAATGGTATTTGTTTTAGCAGCCCACACTAAGACACAACCCAATTTTATAATTTATTTATATTGCCAATAATTTTTAGTAATCGGGGGCCACTCTTTGCTCCAAGGCTGTTTCGAACTCCTGACCTTGAAGATCCACCAGCCTCGGTCCCAGAGTGCTGGGATTACAGCTGAGCCACCAGCTCGGCCTTCAGACCATTTATAAAAATTGAAGAAAGACTTTAAATACATTTTTCAAATATGTTAAAAATGACTAACAAAGCAATAGGTCAACATTAGCATTTAGGAGAAAATGAACACAAACCACTGAATTCACACCACACGATTTACTACAAGAAACCAGAATGCTATGAGAATGGAAGATGGAACCTGTGCACCGTCAGTGGCAATGTAAATGGTATTAGCCTGTTGAAGAACAGTAGGCAGGGTTTCAAAAATTAACATAGCAATAAATATATTAAGTATTCACTTCTGGAAATAAGTAATGAATGAGATATTTGTACACCCTGTACAAGCATCCCATTCCACAAAGTAAAATTGGAACACTCAAGTGTTAGTGAAGATGATGAAATAAAATTTTTTATTTTAACACAGATTCT